CCATGAGATAATAGACTCTGCTTCCTGTGATAACCTGGACAGGGTGTTTCTATTTTTTAATAGAAAAGTTGCTAGTGTCCTGGTCAGTCTCACAGTTTCACCAAAAACAAAGTGGGAAGCGACACATACTCTAAATTTTATTAAAAGAAAAAAATTCTTAAGAAGAGGGGACAGGTACAGTGGCTCCTGCCTGCATCCCAGCACTTTGGGAGGCTCAACTCCTTAAGCCTAGGAGTTGAAGGATGCAGTGAGCCATGATCGCACCACTGTATTCCAGCCTGGGTAAGCAGAGTGAGACCCTCCCTCTAAAATAAAAATAAAATACCTGAATAGCTTAATTGTTTTACTGTGGAATTCATTTTCAGAATTTTCTCTCAAAATTATAACCTCAAATTAATCTCATTATAAGCTAATTCTGCCAGATACAAAAATAATCTCTCCATTTAAAAGTACTGTTTACTGATGCTATACCATAAAGTTATAAAAATAAGGTTTTTCTGAACTTGGGAAACCCCTGAGGAGACAGTGGAGGGCTGCAGTCAGCACTGGGACTGGAGCAACACTGCCCTCAGCCAAGGAACGATGTGGGTGACTTTCTGAGTATCCCCAAAGTAGATCCCGAGGCCTGTGCCTCTCAAATCTTCTCTGCCAGGATGCTGGTGGAGCCATTTCCCAGCTGGTGTCTCTGGCCCAGCGAAGCCTGAAGGAAGGCAGTGGTTCTGGGATGCCCTGTGGATTAGCCCCAATGCCTTGTTGACCCAGGGACCCTGGGGATGCTGTATAAGGAAGGAAAATATGTGAATATACCCCAGGAGAAAGGTAGTATGGCCGGGTGGTCTAAGGTGCTGGATTAAGTTTCCAGCCTCTTCAGAGGCACAGGTTCGAATCCCACCACTGTCAACTTGTTGTGATTTCTCCATTTTGCTCGGGATCTGAATTCCATTTGGCAGTGCACAGCCATCCAGAGGTCAGGCTTTGTGTGAAATTCATTGATGCCAGTGTCCACAGCAAGTGAGATGGATTCAGCTCTTTCCAAGTGCCAGTGGTTGAGGTGGAAATGCAACAGCATAAATACCCTTGGGGTGTTCTAGGCTAGTCCTCAGTGTAATAAATTTGAAATTATGAGGAGAGAAGTAGAAGGAGCTGCTTCTGCCCGGTTTTGAACCAGGGACCTTTCGTGTGTTAAGGGAACATGATAACCACTACACTATGGAAACCTGCATGGTTTTCCTGTGCCAACATAATCAGCCATCACACGGTCATATTTAATTTCCCATGATAATTATAAGTTTTCTCCATGGGTCCCTTTGAGCTTGGCTACTGGGCAGGAGCACACAAGAAAAGGATGTTTCAGCACTTGGAAGGCTGAGGAGGGAGAATAGCTGGTGCCCAGGAGGTGGAGTCTGCAATAAGCTATGATTGCTCCACTGCACTACAGAATCTGTCTTGAGAGAGAGAAAAGAAAGAAAAAAAGGAAAGAGAGACAGAGAGAGCAAGAGAGAGAGAGAAACAAGAAAAGGAAGTTTTCATGCTTGATGTGGTGGCATAAGTGGGCATAGGAGTCCTGAGAGAGGGTGTGGCGGCAACCTCAGAGAGACGTGAGGATGGCAGCCAAGCTGTCTGGGTTGACCGTGGGCATGGAGTTGAACAGCAGGGACGCACTTGCACCATTTTCTAAGACAGGAGACATTCAGAAGAAGCTGCTTGGGGAATATGAGGCCATGCTTTTGTGTGTGGAGTTGGAGGTGTGGGCCTGGAGAAATTGGAGTAGAATGAAAGAGAAAGTAGCCTGTAACACCATTTTTATTGTTCCATTGTTTGGAAGAATGCCAGATAAATCAAGCAGCCCCTGCTGTTGGACACTTACTTTCCTCCCATCAGCAATGTGCAAGCGTTATGTGGGCAACCTCCTTGGCAGCACTTGGTACTTTTCACTTATTATTATTCTTGTTATTTAACTTCTAGCCATCCTTGTGGGTATGTAAACTTATGGTTTAAGTTTGCATTTAGTTGATGAGGAAAGATGATAAGCACTTCTTCATGTGTTTATGACCTTTTAAAAAATATTCCATTGTGAGATATCTCTTAAATATTTCTTTCACTAAACACAAAAGAACTGGTCTGGCACGGTGGCTCACAAGTGTAATCCCAGCACTTTGGGAGGCCGAGGTGGGTGGCTGTTTGAACCAATGAGTTTAAGGCAGTCTGGGCAGCATATTGGAACACTATCTCTACAGAAAATCCCAAAATTAGCCAGGAATGGTGGTGGGCACCTGTAGTCATGTAGCTACTTGGGAGGCTAAGGTTGGAGGCTTGAGCCTGGGAGATCGAGGCTGCAGTAAGCAGAGATCTCACTGCTGCACTCCTGCCTAGGCAACAGAGCAAGACTTTGTTCCAAACACACACACACACACACACACACACCAAGCACTATTTCTTTTTTCCTTTTTAATCTGGAAACTTTTAAATTTTTGCTTGCATGTTTAAGTGTAAATTCTATTTCATGTTAATTTTTTGTTATGGTGTGAGGTTGGGGTTAAGATTAGTCTATTTCCCCGATGGATATTCAATTGTTCTTGAACCAATTGTTGTAAAGACTTTACTTTCTACATTGAATTGCTTTGGTGACTTTGGTGAAAAATCAGATATGTAGGCCCCAATATTGTTGTTTTTCAGTTAAAAATTTCAAATTTATTTGAAATTTGGCCAGGCATGGTGGCTCACTCCTGTAATCTCAGGGCTTTGGCAGGTTGAGGCAGGAGGACTGCTTGAGGCCAGGAGTTGGAAACCAGTCTGCACAACAGAGCAAGACCATGTCTCTACAAAAAAATAAAAAATAAAGCTGGGCATGATAATGCATGCTTGTAATCCCCACTACTTGGGAGGTTGAAGCAGGAGAATTGCTTGGGCCCAGGAGTCCAAGGATGAGGTGAGCTGTAATCACACTAGTGCACTGCTAGTGAATAGATAGAGTGAATCCCTGTCTCAAAATAAATAAATAAATTTTTGCATTATGTGAATATTCCATTTTTTCTATCTGTTTATAAATGGCTGAATATTTATGTTTTTTTCCACTTTTTATTTTATTTTTTTGAGTTGGAGTCTCACTCTGTTGTCAGGCTGGAATGCAGCGGTGCAATCTCAGATCACTGTAATCTCCACCTCCCAGGTTCAAGGAATTCCCCTGCCTCAGCCTCCTGAGTAGCTGGGACTATAGGCACGCACGACCACACCCAGATAATTTTTTGTATTTTAGTAGAGATGGGGTTTCACCATGTTGGCCAGGATGATCTCGATCTCCTGACCTCATGATCTGCCCTCCTCAGCCTCCCAAAGTGCTGGGATTACACATGTGCCTATTTATTTTTTTAAGGCAGGTTTTCACTCTGTCAGTCAGGATGGAGAACAGTGGTGCCATCACAGCTCACTGTAACTGCCACATCCTTGTTTCAAGTGATCCTCCCAACCTCAGTCTCAGAACACCTCAGCACACCACCACACCTGGCTACTTTTTGTATATTTTGTAGAGATAGGGTCACTGTGTTGCCCAGGCTGGTCTGAAACTCTTGGCCTCCAGCAACCCACCCACCTTGGCTTCCCAAAGTGCTGCAATTACAGGTGTGAGCTACCTTGCCCACCCTTTCTTTCCACTTTTTTGCTATGATGAATAATGATACTATAAATATTTTGTATCCAACTTTTTACATGAACACGTTTTCAATTCTGTTTTATATATACCTTGGAGTGGAATTGATGGATTTTACAGTAACCCTATGTTTAACTTTTTGGTATGACAAAGTGAAACTTGCAACTTGCAATTCCACTACTACCGTTTATTTATATGACATCTCCAGAAAAGGCAGATGAAAACAGAGAGAAAGCAGATCACTTCTGTCTAGGGCTGAGGCTGAGAGCCAGGGTTGGCTGCAGATAAGCATGCGGGAAATTTTTCTGGCAAAGGAGCTATTCTAAAAGTGGATTGTGGTGATGGTTGCAGAATTCTATTCAGTGAGTAAAAATCATTAAACTGTATACTTACAATAAGTGGATTTTATTGTATTGAATTGTACCCCAACAAAGCTGTTATAAAATGCTAAAACATAAAAACAAACCCCCAAACACAGCAACAAAGCAGTTAGTGTTTCCCAGGGATCAACTCAGGTGACAGTTGCATTGTGCAAAGTGATTCCGGTGACCCAGAGCATAATTAACATTTCCATAATGCTTTCACGCAGCTTTGGAGGACAGGTAACTTGCACCTTGAAACTTGAAGTTCTTGCTAGTGTTCCTTGAAATCAAGGTAAAGTAGTTGTATAAATAATAAAGATGTGAGGAAATTTAAGAAGACACCAGGTAAATGAAGGAGATGAGCCACCACCACGAGACTGAATCTGGGAGGGAAGTGATGGATGCCATCCAGTCCAAAACTACTAGAATACAGACCTTGCCAGTGGATGAGACTAAAACCAAAAAGTGCATATTACAAAAATGAAATGAGGATTGTCATAGGATCCAGTTTATGGTCAACAGGGGCACATCCACCTAATAGCGTGTGTCTGCAGGAGGCACTAGCGTGTGCTGCTGTGTTTTGTGTGTGATGTGCAAAGTTTTTGTGCTTGAGGAGATGGGGACATTCGCTTTATTTTCCACAGCTGTCTTTTTAAATTTAGGAGAGCAAAGCTTCTGTTGATGAGCACTGGGGGCTGCAGGAGGGCCGTGAGGTTGAGTGTGCTTGCTGGTCTTCTGCAGGGGCCACCTGGGTGAGTCAGCTCCTGCGCTGGCTGTCAGGGTGCACATTACACAACCCCTGGAGGTCCTAGTTCCTCATCTGGAGAATGCGATGGGAGCAGTGCCTTTCTTACAGGTCGGCGACAAATGTTAGAGGAATTGAAACACACAATAGAGCTAGGTAAGGGCTGAAGAAACAATGAATCTACAGCTCTGCCAAGGCAGCTCAATTCCAAGTAAAGGGTACAGAGCACGAAGGAAACAAAACTGGATTATACTTCCCAGAGGGAACAGTTGGGGGTGAGGAATGAGGGAAGAGTGAAGCCACACAGGAGGGCAAAGGTGGACGGCACTGTGCGATGCAGAGGGGCCTCGGACCTTGGAGGTGTCAAAGGGGCAGCTCGAGGGCTAACCGGGCACTAGAAGGGACAAGGGAGTGCGGGGGCTGCAGGGTAGGAGCCTAGCAAGGCTGGTGCGTATGCCAAGCAGTGGCAGGAAGGAGACAAGCTTTGAGAGGGGGCCCGTTTTCCGCTGCCTCGGCTTCTGGTTTGTGTTCAGGAGCCCTCGCCCAGCCCCATCTCAGTGGCTCCCAGGAGGGAGCACAGGCTGCGCTGGACCCGCTCCTTGTCCTAGTCTCCCGCCTTGGGAGCAGACGCCTCTCCCCGTTTTCCCAGAGCCCGCATCTCTCTCCAGGGCTTCTTAACGGGAAAGTTTCTAACAGGCGTTCAAAGAAATGCCTCTGGGCTGCTGGGTTGCAGCGGAGCGGGGAGCATCCCTTGGGAACTGCAGCCGGTCCCTGGTTGCGCCCAGGAACTTCCGGAGCTTGCGAGTCCTCTAGTGGAAGTCCCCCAGTCCGAGGCCGGCTCAGCTCACTGGCAGCTCGCCCAGGGAGAGGACCTGGTGCCTCAGTGGCTGGCCCGAAGCCAGGGGCTCCCTGCACGTCTCGAAAAGGCTCAATGGCAACCTGCCACATGCACTTGGGCACAAGGCAGTGACTTTCTCCATTGCAGGAGTGGGAACTGCCCCTTTCTGCTGGACCTCTTGTCTGCCAGGGGTGGCGGTGGTACTGTCGCTGCAGCGGCCCTTATCCAGCTCCAGATGCCACCTCCCTGGATGGGCCAGCTCTTGGGGAGCACCATCGAGCCCATCCTCCCTCAGGGCTGGTCTGAGCCTCCGTGCTCATTGTTTTCCCAAAACCCACCTGAATGTAACACTGTGTCCTGGATAGGGTGAGACCTTAGGGAGCTCAGAGAGGGACAGAGGTGCTGAAGAGTTGGGATAGTGGCATCTTCCCTCAGGCAGGCTTTCAGGATCTGAGCAGATGGACCCAGCTCTTTGTGAGCTGTAAGCCTGTGTGGGCAACAGTCAGTCAGGCAGTCTTCACCTGTGACTGGGAGGTCTACTGAGCTTGGATTTTCTTGAGGTTTTGCCCTGGGCATGGTCCTGGGAGTGTCAGGGCTTTCTGTGAAAACGTCTTTAGGAGTTTCCTCCAGTTGCCAGAACAAAATAGCACAGCCTGGGGCCTCAACAACAGATGACCATTTTCTTCCAAGTCTGGAGGCCTGAAGTCCAAGACCAAGACATGCAGAGTCTTGTTTTCTGCTGAGGCTTCTCTTTTTGGCTTGCAGGTGGCTGCCTTCTCACTGTCTCCACACATGGTCTTTCGCCTGTGCACATGCACCCATGATGGCTCTGTGTGTCCACATTCCCTTTTCTTATAAGGACACCAGACAGGCTGGATTGGGCCAACCCTAGTGACCTTGTTTTAGTGTGATCACCTCTTTAAAAGCTCTATGTCCCAAATACAGCCACATTTTATGGTACTGGAGGTTGGAGTTTTAAGATGAATTTTGAGGAAAGCACAATTCCACCACAGCAAGACCTTTCAGGCCTCAGATCTCCAGGTGAACATCAAGGCAGAGTCCAAACTGCAAACAGAGGCTCTAGGGGGTTTCAAAAGTGGCACCATAGGATAGAGGAAGTGATCTTCCGGGGCTGCTTGCCTGGTTGTTCCAATGTGTCTAGGAAGAGAAACCAGGTAAGTGCTGCCTTTTCCCATTTGGAAAGCCATTTTAATTCATTTCCAGTGTTACACATTTCTGGAAGCTAGGCATACCCAGGCCCTGGGCACAAGTTGGGGTCCTGCTCTGTGACCACAAGCCAGCCACTCCCATCTCTGAGCTTGTTTTCACATCAACAAGATGAGAGGGAGAATGAGATGATCTCAGAGGCCACTGCTGGCTCTAAACTCCCATCTTTCCTGTCACTGAGATTTGTCCTGTTTCTCAGGACTCTGTTGAATATCCCGCCTTTCAGCAGAGTAAGTGCAGACTGAGATAAAAAGCCAGTTTTCTGGGCTGGCCTTCAGTACAGGTGGAGAAGGTGGCCCCCATGACATGAGATGGGGCACCCACCCCCAAACGCTTCCCCAGCATCCCCACTGGCATGGCTCTTTTTCCTGCCTTCTTAACCCCCTAAAGCCCTGGGCATGGGCCTCAGCAGGTGCTCACAGCTATCTGTCATTAGAGTCATTGCATTGCTGCCCTAGCTGCTCTGGGCTGGGGCAAAGCTGGCCACTGTCTCACAAGGACCCACAGGGTGTCTGAGGAGGCAGGGACGGCCCTGGGTAGACTGGTTCTTGCTCACTTCTCTCAGGATAGAGTCTGGGTAAGATGGCCAGAAAAGCCATGTCATCATTTGAGCTGGCCCTCAAAGATGAGAGCTCAAGGAGCAAAAGTGCAGATTGGTATAAATTGTCAGTGTCCTGGAGGGGGCCTCTGAGGTCACTTGGTCAAATACCCACAGCATCTTCTGGGGAAACCAGGAGTTGAAGGCTGTGCTGCCTGTGGGCCTCCCCTCTGCTTTAGTTTTTGCAGGGAGGATGGGGTGAGGAGGTCCCTATCTGGAACCTCTTTCCTCCTGATTGCCTGACTCTAGGCTCTGAATTTAAAACACGGATTTTCCCCTCTCAGCAGGAGCCACCTGGATTTTGCATTCATTTCTGCTCAGGATTGGTCTGCACAGGCCCTTATTTAGTCTTTAAAGTTATCCATGCCATTAAGTTCATTTATCTGTTCCCTGCTACATGCACACTTCGTCATCCCCACCCCCATGTCTGCCATGTTAGCAGGGCTGTGCTTGCCAGGGCACCTGGATCTGTGAGGGTGTGGGTGCCTCTAGACCATCAATCTCAGCCACATCTCCCTTTTCCCCTCTAGAGTCTCTTGGCTCATCCACATGGCTGCCCACCCCCAATGACAAGGCACATCCTGGACCCTCACCCCTGGGGCTTTCTTAGGGGCATCCTAGATATGATCTCACTGGATCTGGGTTGCCCTCTCCTCACTGCCCCCTGGGAAGCCACAGCCCCTGCTCATTTTTCAGTCATCAGGCTCCAGCTGCATCTCCCACACATTCAGAGCCAGCCTCTCCCCTCACCTGGTCAGGCCCCTTCCTTCCTCTGGAGGGGCCTCCCCAGCCTTGCACTTAGTTTGGGGTCGGACAAAGCCCCTGCATCCTTCTTAGCTCAGGGCCTGCCACAGACTAAAACCTTCATTCACCCCCTATGCTGCTCTCTGCTCCCTGCAGTTCTGTGCAGGTGGGGCTGTGAGCATGCAATGCCATGGCCAGGGTGCTATCATTTCACTCTGTCATGTGTCCAGGCTGGGGTGTCACCCTCAGGTGCCAGCTCAGAACCATACAGACAGACGGCCCTGGAACAGGCCTGCTGAGAGCCCAGTTGCCTGCTCCAAAGAGGCCCAGACCTGCCTGCCTGGTTCACCCTCATGCAGGTTCCAGCCCTGTTGACATCTGACAGTGACCACAGTGGGTCTTTAAGAGACAGGCAAGACCTCCCAGCACCACAGAAATTCAGGCCTGGGAATGGCTGTGTGTTAGAGAGGAGGGCTTCACCCATGGGGACCTCAGGCCTTGGGCATTTCCCTGCTGCAGCCCCTGCCCTGCAGCACCCCCTGGCGCTGGGTGTGACTTTTGAGGTCTCCACAGTCACACCCATCCTCTGCCTGCAGGTGTTTCCCACCACCCTCCCATGAACCCCTTCCACGCATGTCCCCCAGGCTGACCTCAGAGGGCTTCTGCTGATCCTCTCTGCAGTGGGAGCTCAGATGTGGTCCTCCTGGGCTGGCCTGCACTGCTGCCATGCATCTCACTCTCTTTATTGTCGCCAGCTCCCTGCAGTCTATGCTATTATTTTCATGTGACAGATGAGGACACCAAGACACAGAGAAACTGGCAGCTTTGCCAAGGGCAGCAGGAGGGAGGCTGGAGTATTTTGGACCCCACTCTGCTCTCTCCTGCACTTGCACTAGATCTGTCTCTACAGCCACATCCCTGGCTATTTCAGACCAATGTGATGACAAGGGTCACTTAAATAAAAAAGAAAACAAACAAACAAAAACGCCTGCACCTGTCCCATGCTGTCTGTGCTTTCTTTTCTGGTTGGGTTCATAGCTCTCTGCTGCCCTCCCATGACTGTTGGTTTTCATAGGTGGGGACGGGTGCTGACCTCATTCACAGCCGCAGACATTCTTCCAGGCTCAGACTATGGGGCGCAACGTGATCAGGACAGATCAGAGCCCCATAGTAGTTATTGTTGGAAAGAGATGCTCAGTGCCACAAAGGAAAATTAGCACTGAGACAAAAGATCTTTTAACAACACACTTTTTACTTCCTGGACTGCAGGAAGGTACTCTCACTAGCCATTGTGCCATGAGAGTACAATGAATAAAGGAAAACACACAAATTTATACCCTACGCATTTGGGGTCTTCCTTACTGCTGTGTCTGATCTCTGTTAGCTGGAGCCAGACCTCACAATTTAAACTAAAACCCGAGTGGCTAACAACTTCAAACTTTTCTAAACAGGTAAAAGGAATGGAGAGTGGGGACATGCCTGTGAGCACATCCAGTACAGATATCTTGGTTAAAGTACAAGGACATAGAATGTACTACAAGCTATAAGCATGGCATGTTTAACAGCTACATAAGGTAGGACTTAACAAAGTTATTAGCATACTTATTATTTAACAAGAAAGGAAACTTTAAAAAGGCCTTTTTCTATTTCCCACAGTTATGGAGATGCCAGTTTAGCTTTCATACATGACACAAACACATAAACAGTCTTTCCAAATGGAGGTGTAGAGCATTTTAAAATATAAAATTCATATTGTATTTTTATTTGTTCTAGAGATGAGGTTTTGCCATGTTTCCCAGTCTGGTCTCAAACTCCTGGGCTCAAGTGATCCTCTTGCCTTGGCTTCCCAAAGTGCTGAGATTACAGACATGAGACACCCTGCCCAGCTGATACTGAACATTTTAAAATTTGTAGAGATAGGTTCTCTCTGAGTTGCCCTGGCTGGAGTGCAGTGACACTGCTATGTCAGACTTCTGGGCTCAAGTGATCGTCCTGCCTCTGCCTCCCCGTCATCAACTGGGATTATAGGAATAATCCACCATGCCTGGCTTCAAGCAATTTTTCATATTCACACACACACACACAAAATGTTGACCTAACTGATTGCAATGAAGATGTTACACATGTATATCCCAAAATCACCCAATAAGATGAATGGACAACTTGATGGGAAAGGATTTGATAAGGTAGTTGGCAACAACAACAACAACTGGTCATGTGCATTTTAAACGGTTAATTATAAAGAATGTCAAGCATACACAAAAGTAAAGCAAGTAACAAAATCTCCCACATCCCCTGGCAAAATTCTTATTTTTTCTACTCTGCTGTGTTCTCACATGTAGTTTCTTTTTATTTTTCTTTTATTTATTTGTTTGTTTATTTATTTTTGAGACAGGCTCCTGCTCTGTGGCCCAGGCTGGAGTGCGGTGGCACGATCACAGGTCACTGCAGCCTCAACCTCCTAAACTCAAGCAATCCTCCCACCTCAGCCTCTCATGGAACTCAGCCTCCCAAGTAACCACGCTGGGCTGATTTTTGTATTTTTTGTAGAGATGGGGTTTTGCCATGTTGCCCAGCCTGGTCTGAAACTGCTGAGTTCAAGCAATCCACCCACCTTGACCTCCTAAAGTGGTGGGATTACAGATGTGTGCCACACCTTGTCCACTCTCACACATATTTTCTCTCTATATATTATTTCCTTACAAATTTCTAACGATTGAAAATCTCAGCTGGGCGCAGTGGCTCACGCCTGTAATCCCAGCACTTTGGGAGGCCGAGGCGGATGGATGATGAGGTCAAGAGATCGAGACCATCCTGGTCAACATGGTGAAACCCCGTCGCTACTAAAAATACTAAAAATCAGCTGAGCCTGGTGGCGCGTGCCTGTAACCCCAGCTACTCAGGAGGCTGAGGCAGGAGAATTGCCTGAACCCAGGAGGCGGAGGTTGCGGTGAGCCGAGATCGCACCATTGCACTCCAGCCTGGGTAACAAGAGTGAAACTC